ACCCGTATTTTTCTCTCAAAGGAAAAAAAGAAAATTTCATTAGATGAGAAATTGATCCCATGACATTTCATGGAATTTATCAAAAAATCACATTGCTTCATGAGATAACATGAGATGAGATGAGATTGAAGTGTCCCATCCTCTTCAAAGTCTTCATACAATATTTTGTTCGATTTCTTCATGTATAGAAAATCAAATGTGTAATAAAACACTAAACAAAATCTTATCATTTGATTGTTCCTTTCTCATGGTTATTTGCATATTGTAATTAATACTACTTTTCTTAACAATTTTTTCCGTTTTGATCCCCACATTGATAGAGAAAAAGAGATAACAATTGCTTTAAAACCTCGTAAAATCACTTGTTTTTATTCGTTACTCGTAGCTCTACACAAAAAGATGAAATGGTTCGTGTTTCTCTTTCTTTATGCGCTTCTACTTACTCTTGTGAGATTAAACCAAATCAACGAAGACATCCATTCGGAAGGTTTTAAAGGCAAACTTTGGTAATGTTTCTTTTTCCTCATTTCTCTGCTTTTTGATCATTGGAAAAGTCTTGTTTCTTGTTGTAATTTTTAAAAACTCTCCAGAAGTTTTTTTTCTTATTACAGACAATCCGCTTCTAGTAAATTGCCTTCTGATACATATAACTCATATAATACTTTGTGAATTCTTTTCTTTCATTTTCCTGCAACAAATTTCATGAAACATCATATATTAAATCCTTACAGGTGCATCTTCAGAAGAATTGTGGGTTCTTGATTGATACAAACGAAAAGTTTTTCTCTCATCTCTATAAACAAATATACAGTGAAACAATGGAAAATCACAATATACTCCTTTCTATATAATCGAAGAGCATTCACTGCTATGTCTTATTCGTAAAACAACATCCAACCGCACTCTAGTGCAAAATTCAATGCACTTGAGCGATATTAATAATGACGCTTTATTAAGGGATGACTATAAATCAAATAGTTATATCTGAGCTTTTCTTTGCTGTTCTAAAATTGTTTGTTTTCAAGGCCAATGAATGGCACACTTACATGGAAGTTGAAATATGGTCCTTTTTTATATGATTCACGGAAGATTCGTGAAGACATCCAGCAAGCATTCGATGATTGGACTCGTGATACTCAGTTAAGTTTTCGTGAAGTGACTGAAAATGAAAAGGCTGATTTTAATATAGCTTTTGTATCTGGTGATCGCTCAGATGGATTTCGATTTAATGGACCGGGTCGACAAGTATCTCGCAGTTTTCGTCCTGAGAGTCGCTACGCGGGATATATTCATTTTTATTCAAGTGAAAAATGGTCTCACAAGTAAAGAAATATCTTGATATTTTTCATCGATCTATGAATTGAATACAAAGATATGATGGAATTGGTTACAATTTGCATTTAGCTGCGGCACATGAACTTGGATCTGATCTTGGTCTTTCACATTCAAATGATCCTGATTCAATCATGTCTTCATCCTATCTATTGTTACTACTAAATGAAATGTTATCTAAACAAGTTCGTATAAGAATTCTTTTTGCTTTCTTCGCTTCTTCAAATTTGCATGAGAGTCTGATGATGCTACCAAAAACTGTAATCTCATCAACTCAGTCCACTTAGTGAAGTTAAAATACTGAATACTCGATAAACTTTCTTATGAAAAAAAGAGATGAAAGTACTGTGTAATTGAAGTAAGCTGTAGAAGATCATGGTTTTTGTTAGGGGTGGCATTTTCCTGTTAATTTATTTTAAATGTTCGGAATTTATATTTAAAGTAAATGTAAATTTTCGGAATTTACATTTAAAATAAATATAAAGTAAATTGAAAAATTTTATTTATTATGTTGTTTTAAACAACATAATCTTATGAGGGTCACATGTCTCTATCAATTATGTTGTTTCTCGTTACGGTCCAACAGATAGGTTTCAACAGTTTATATTTCAAAAATAACTTTGTTTAGTAATTCTTTATTCCAGTGTTTGAAAATTATAACGTAGCCTCTAGGCATACTCGACATAAATGTTTTGATCGTTTCACACTTCAGATACAATCGAAAATGCTAGCTGGATATTCTATCTATTCGTGTGAAGATAGATGCACTAGGTGAGCGATAGAAAGAGCGCTGCTACTTTTACCACTTATTTTACTCTGGAATAATTATATATACATATATATATTATCAAAATGGAAACTACTTGGTCAAAAACAATTGTTGGAACAAAATTCTTTAGGTTATTCATGCAAGACAGGGCGAGTTGTTCACTTTTATTGTCATTAGCTTATAGAAAACATCATTACTCTCGCAAGATCTAATAACCATATGCTGAAAGAGTCGATTTTTTCGCAACTTTCTATACGTTTATGAGATGCAAAAATGAGATCTAAAACAAGGTTGTGGTTGTTTTTTCTGATTTTAAAAATCCAGTTGAATGGGAGGTTTTATCAAATGCGAATCAGATTTTTAAATGTAATCGATTTCAACCTACTCGAGTGGTTATCATTTGGTTTTGATATACTATAGCATACATTCAATATGAAATGTTGGTTTTACTCTCAGATACAAAACAGAAAACTCTAATTTAGTTTAAATTTATTTATATGTAAATTTCGAAAATTTTAATTTATTTTAATTATAAATTTTTAGTGTAACAACAATTTATATTTTTCTTCATCTTAATTCAGAAAATTTAAGCATATTTTAGTATAAATTTTGTTATAGCAAAAATTTACATTT